TTTTTTTTTCAGCCATTGGTTGTGTTGATGAATATGATAAATGCAACGTTTACCCGAAAAGCGATTGCAATGACAACAACGATTTCATGAAAACAAATTGCCGGGCGACATGTGGCTTTTGTTGAGGTATGTACTTTTGCACCGAAACAATACCGACACTACAAGGACGTTCTGTCCGTTGTCAACAGCAACGGCACAGTAKCCTAAGACTTTTGATTTCTGACGCGTCAAGTTAATATACATGAGTATCATATAATAGTCGTTTACATTGATCAATGTTAGGGATGTTAAATGGGCAAGTCCAATATTTATGTATCAAATCACATGAATCCCCGGCCCCTTCAGCCTCCGGGAATGTCCGGGCATCTAGACTGACACTGTTGTAACAGCACAATCAACGGGAAAACGGTTGACTTGTAAATCAGAGGAAATACACTATAAAACCGCCTTTTTGGMCTTTAAGGACCGAGAAATGCCGGGATTTGAGCATTTTAACATTGCTGGGGGTACGTCCCTGGAGGGCGAAAGGATTAAGTGAGTGCAATGCATCCTTAAACTGTCATATTTAAACTAGTTTTTGTTTTCCAGAACATCGATGCATCCTGCGTACGTGGTACGACCTTTTAACTCTGATGGCAACCGACGCTTTCGTGGATTCTTGATTTAAAGCTTTCAAAAACAGAAATAAATAAATCTAAACTCAAGATTTTTAAGATTACTTTAATTTTATTTTGACATGTAAATCGAACTAGTCGATCTCCTAATTTTGCTCTGTGTTTGTTTGTTTGCTTTTCATTTTCCTTTTTTCCTTGTTTCATGTGAAAATTGAGCGGAGCACCGTATCTAAAAAAAGTTCAACCTTCAAGTCCATTTGATTAGCCGACACAGGGATCCCACACGTAAGGGTGTTTACATCCGTCGTGTACCACCAAAAGAAAACAAATAATCCGAGCGAAAATGAAAAGGAGTCGGGGTTGCCGTACGTATTCAATATATGGTATTACCCTCTAGGCAGATATGTCGAGTACATAGAGGCCCCTGACAAGCCATGTGAGGTACCCAACAAGCGCATAAATACTGTATAAAGTCCTCTAAAATCGTACCTAGTCTTTTCCGGCTTGTATAACTGTAAAAATGGCTTCAAACCCTGAAGTTTAGGCAGTCGACGCCGCGAAGCACATTTCAATCGTCCAAAACAGTGATCTTATGGTGGCTTTATTGTATTGAAAAGATGTCTCAAAGAGAAATGCCCTCACCCTTAGATGGGAAGGACTAGCTTATGTCCTCAAAAAGCCTCAAAAATGAGACAAAACATTTGACAACGAGTCTCTGCTGACGGAGGTGCCAAGAATACATGGCTTAAATTGATACTTTATATGTACAGTTAAGTGTCATTTATGAATACACAAGAGAAAATGAGCATCATAATTATTGTTATTATTGATAATATAAGAGAAATCAATCACAAGAATTAAGCAAATCGACAAAAAGGCGAAATAAAAGCACAGAAACAGAGATTACCGCCACTTTTTCCAAACGACGCGTTTACGCATCCGGGAAATCAATTATCGAAAGATAAAAATCACAACAAGTATTGGTCCGTGTATCTTGGTGCAAATCCATTTTCTTGTCATTGAAAAATTAATATCCAGATACTGAATACACTTTTGCACTTCCAAATTTCTGAACAAAATACAATAAAATCCTTCATTTTTTGTAATTGATTCAAATCCTTGAAAGCGTTAAAGAATTTAGAAAAATGGGTATTTCTTACGTTTCCTGGTTTTGAAAAGTGTTGAACAATAAAAAAAGGCAATTTGCTTAGATGGAGTTTTTAAAATTTATTGAAAATACAGTCACAAGTAAAATTCAAAGTAGGCAAAAAAAAATGATACTTAAAATTACAAAATCGGGTCAATTTCCTTTTTACTATTTTACATATCCGGAAAACGGAAATCATTTGTTCATGACGTCATTATAAAAACCCAAGATCCTTTGCGCCCTGAGCCCCATCGCCTAAAATTCCATGTAAACAAAAAAAACGGACAAAATGCTGTATGGTTAAGTCTCACTTTATTGCTTCTTCAAATATTTGGGTTCAAGAGGATTGTTTTTAGCTTTGATTGCACTATAACAGCGTGTGTACGAAGCAGGAAATAACTCATGTCATGCAGCAGTACAGATTATCAGAGGAAAAGGTAAGACGGTAGCTTATATTCATGAATGAGAAATCTAGAGATATTGCCCTTTTTGAGCTTATACATAAACTTACGAAGTCTTGTATCGCTAACTTATCATATAAAATGAGTTAAACAGTTAAACTTTGTCTATGATTCTCAGGCCAGTTCAACGTCGAGCCAGCGTCGCATCAACCAATATAGTTTGATTAGCACATCATACAGCTCGACGTATGAATCAATTGAGTTCGGTACGACTTACGACTGTATAGTACCAGTAGTACGGCAGTGGTATTCAAACGCCTAGGTATCGTCGTGCCGAACATAACACGAAGTCTTTTCCAAAATTCCCATGTCAGAATTCTCAACCATTGGAACACAACTACTTAATGTCTAAAAGACGACTGCACCTACATGTATTTGATAGAGATGCATGGGACCATTGTCTCTATAAGTTCCAATGGATTGTACTCCTTTCGTGATTCTTACATAAGATCTAATGTATAGAGTTAATGCACTAAAACCGTGAAACAAATAGTACTAATTACGTATATAATAGTATTGATTAGACAAAGGAATTACCATAGTTTTTACCATTTTGCAATATAAAAGAAAAGCTTCACGGATTAAGTGTTTTCACTCTAATACGAATGTTATTGCTAATATATCAATAATTGTTCTATATTCTGCACATGCTAGATGGTATGTTTTAAGAAATAAATAAATAAATTCTCGATCATGTTCAGTAACCATTCACAAAATCAGTTACATCTCCTCCAAGAGAAACCAACAAATTATACAAGGTAATTTGAAAATTTTAAAAATTATTATTTATTGTTTTCTGTTGTTAAGTTAAATTAACACTATTTTGTAGTAAATAATTAAGTTTGTACTCTACACTCAATCAAGGACTGAATGTTGCTCAGGCCAAAGAGAGAGTCATAATAGCAGTTTAAAAAAATATCAGTCAAGGACTGCATGTGATTCAGGCATAGGAGAAATGTAATAGGAACATAGAGCTCTAGAATAGGACATAAGACAGAGTGCAATTTGAAGTCTCCATATTATTTGCAAAATAAGAGATAGTAAACTAAGATAATTAGGACCTTGTAAGGACCTTAGGACCTTATGTATATGTATAAAATATGAGTGGGAGACCTTTATGGGCATATAAAAGTGTGAGCTACAAGGGAAGAGCCCATGAAGGTCGTACACAATTATTTTATATTGCTAATCAAATTCCAACATAAGTTAAAGCATATTTCAATAAAACTTCAGGATAAAATATCTTTTGAGAAAATTGAAGTTAAAGTCATATGCAAATCAGGACAAATCTCTTGCTCATATCATAGAGATATGGTCATGGCAATGATTTTCCATTGTGTTTACCTTATGAATGAATTATGAATGAATTTGATAATTTCATCTTAAAAATTCATTTTTTATATAGAAGTATCAAGCAAAAAAGATCATGAATTATTTTTTTAGAAATACAAGTTTGACTGCAAATGCATAGAAAGATGTTTCCTAGCTCAGGACACAAAATACTTTGAATGCATTGTGATTTGAAAGCACAGAGAACAGAACTAGTCGGGATTTCGTAGACGATTTTTCACAGCTGATCACAATACTACAATTTGGTTGAAATAAATTACTTCGATATGGTTACAGTCCCTTACAGACACTCACAGATCACTCATGGTCATTAGATACATTATCATACATTATCTGTCAGTAGATGAGTGACAAAATATCATCAAACAACAGAATTTAATAATATGAATTATAAAGTGCATCTGAATACATGGGGTATCCAGTATTTTCATTGGAGGGGTCCTTACATGCCAAATTGTCAATACGTCAACAGGATGCCATATCAATCTATGGGCGAGGGGTCAGGGGCACCCTGTGACCCGCCTGGATACCCCCTGGAACCTGGAATATTCAATCGATATATAAAAGTAGAATTAAAGTGAAAATGTGCCGCATATGAAAGTCATTGCATACAAAAGCTAAAATGGGTCTAAAATGTCGATAATTACCATTGGATTTATAAAATTTAAGGTTTTATTTTATTATAAAAAATAAGTATATAATAATAACTACCCCATATTTACAGCTCCGGTAGATTAAAGGCGCTCTTGAAAAGAGCGCAGCGTATGGTTACTCTCAAAAGCGATTATTTACATAAAAAAAACAAAAAATTACCAAAGTGTTATTGCACTCTTGCATTATAATGTACAAACACGATCGAAGAACTGTAACCCTTTTTATGGAAACTTGAACGCAATGCTTTAAAGAGTGTTTTAACACCTAAAAGAGTGTAATGTGATAGAAGTGCCTAATTAATATAATTGAACATTTCAAAAAAAATTTCTTTCTGGGCTGCACAACTTTTTTGTTGAACCAATGGGGCACTAGAATTAGGTTACAGTACGATTACGGTTACAGTACAGTACCGTCCGTTTCCCACTCATATAAAATCCGCTCTTTCTAATGGATACTTCGTCCTTTTAAAAGGATGGGAGTCCACAAAAAAAATACTACCTAGTATACAGTCCCCCTGACTTTCTCGACAGTTGCTTTGGCGATCTTGTGAATTTATGTGACCACACCTAAATAGTTATTTAGTCAAACAATCAATCAATCTTTATTCATAATCATTCTTTACAATTTTGTGGATTTTCAATTATATAATACAATATTAGTGATAAGAAAAGGCATAGTAAAAAAGCATGTGAATGCTTATATATATTTAGACCCTTCTAAAATTAGCTAGTAAAGTAATTTACAAAATGGTCAT